AAGCCCCACTCCCAGCTGTACCGTAACACTCCCAGTGGTGGCAGCCAACCGGTAGGTAGCCTGTTGCCAACCATAATGAGATACATAATTATTTACATTCACGTATATTCTAAGGCAAGACTTAAACTGTCCTTTACTTGAACTATAAAAGTGTTTAATACTTTCCCATTTCTTAATTACCCAGAATAAGATCTTTTAAAACTAGATAGGTACATCAAAATATATTTATTTTTTATATTGCTTTTGCTCTTGGAGATAAGCTATTTTATCTGCAATACAAAAATTTTATTGCAGATAAACTATTCCTGTCTATGGAGCTTAATCAATGTTGTTCCTCCTCCCTTTCACCTTTATCAAGTGCCATAAGGAATAAAAATGAAACTTAGTAAATATGCTCTCATGACCCATTTACGATTTTTAAAAAAAAGGTAAAATACAAGTAAAAGGTAAAGTCACACACCTTTAGTTTTTTTCCCCTCACTGGCCCACGCAGAGTCAACAATGCTGAAATGTTCCTGTGTAAGGGTGGATTATTGATAGAGACTGAAATGCAAGTTTGTCTTGGAGGTAACCCAAAAGATTAGACAATAGTACTGCAGATTAAGCAATAACAGATGGGGAATTTAAAAAATGTGCCTTTTTCCTATGGCGGAGAGAAAATGACTTGCCCAGCTCACTTACATGGCTAAGGTAAGACTTGAAGCCACATTTTTTTTTACTTTTTAGCTTGCTACTTTAGACCAAACTGATTCACCTCACTAACTTGTTTACCTTTTACTATCGTAAAAGGTACCAGTAAAGGTAACTTTTACAGTACCAGATTAAGAATACAAATTAAAATAGGAAAGAAAATGGTAAGAGAGCCCTGTCCATCCTAAACGAGTTCAAGTCATCAAGACCAGATGGATTACATGCCAAGGTTCTGAAGGAACTGGCAGATGTTATCTTGGAACCACTGAACTATATCTTTCAAAGATTCTGGAGCACTGGGGAACTACCAGAGGACTGAAAAGGACTGATGTAGTTCCCATCTTTAAAAAAGGAAACAATATGGATCCAGAAAACTACAGACCTATCAGACTGACACCAATACCTGAGAAGATTCTGGAAAAGATA